AAGTACTAACCACTATACGATCACGGCCAGCGCGCTGACATCGATTGGGGCCGAAGTAACTGTGTCAATAAGCCTCCAGTCTTGTCGGTATCTTTAGAAATCATGTCCTCAATTTTATGGTCCTTTGGGCGTAATTAAATTAAGCTAATTACGGTCTCTAATTGCTAGTTTTTATGATTGCATCTGAAATTGTTAGGCGAAAGTAACCTGCATGCCAAATTTCAGATCTATAGAGCAATCAGAAGTGGGCTAATTTTCGATGTCAATTTTAACAACAAACACATCCACGCGAAGCTGAGTTAATAAAAACGTGTTAAGAAAAGCAGGCTGAAATCGGGAGTCCATGGCCTCAATGTCGCATAACCAGTTGACACGTATACTTAAAATTAAGAACGCAGAAGAAGAAAGGAGGTAGGTTAACGGAATTTGGATATACCTAACTGTGGCAAAGACTGATGTTAAACCAGGCCCAGGTCATCATCGATCTTCTGAGAAAAATTGTAATAAGTACTGATCAGAGGCATGAAACTTTACACTATCGATGCTATGAAATCAATGGGAACTCAGTATTATAACGACAACTCTGAAAATACTATAGGTACGTTTTCAAAGATTGGACCAAAATATGAGATAAAACATTTCAGGAATATTCTATCAGAGGAGAGTCTCAAACTGGCACCATGTTGGGGTAGCGTGGTTGATGGGGAGTTGTTCGCAACATTACCAGAAATAAAACTTTTTAAGATAAGAAAAATGTACAAAAATAAACATAAATAATGAGATGAGTACAAAAAAAAACCGAAGTTTCACCAATTACGACAATATAGTCTAAATTCATTCCGCAAGTGAGAGAAATTTCTACGAAAGTCATCAACTTGATGAATCAAATTAGGTATATTGTAATGCAAAGTATAGTGTAGTGGTATTAAGTATTATATCTGCATAAATGAACAAGAATGGTACATCTGGCAACTGCCACTCCACCCAGATATTAAACTTGGATATCATCGAGAAGGCAGATATAGAGTAAGATATATATATATATATATATATATATATATATATATATATATATATATATATATATATATATATATATATATATATATATATATATATATACTAGCCGTCCCGGCCAGGCCCTGCTCTGGCTTCTGTAATAAAACCTTTCTGTTAAAGACCATTACCTGTGTGTTTAGTAATCATTCTATACCCGGCTTTGCCCACCCAAACCACAACCAACCAAAACCAAAACAACAAAACGCAAACATAACGCTAACACAATTACAAATACAAACGAAAACAAAAACCTAACAACAAACCCAACCACAACCACAAACACCAATACAAACACAAAGAAAAAACAAACAAAAAAGCAAACGAAAACAAAAACCTAACAACAAACCCAAACACAAACACCAATACCAACACAAAAAAACAACGAAAAAGCAAACGAAAACAAACCGAATCCAAACGCAAAACCAACCAAAAACACAAATACAAACCCAAAGAAAAAAACACAAACAAAAACGAAAAAAAGAAAGAACAAAAACGAACCAAATCAAAACGCAACCACTAACGCAAACCCACCTAAACACAAAGAAAACACTAACGCGAACATAAACGCCCGGGGCAGAATCACCTGTTTTAGCTTAATAAACGACTATAGTACCCCAACTTATTCATAGTTTTTGCACTCACTTAAACGAACGCGCCTGTTTCAATTTAATGAACAATTATAATACTCCAAGCTTATCCGTAAAATACCTACAACATTTGCACTTGATCAATCCCCGCTAATTATGTAATTATTTTTTTCCCAACACCAAAACAAAGTAATAAAAAGTAAATGCTTTTCCACTAATGCAATGGTTTTATAAAGGGAAGTAATTGTGTTTTCCTAATTTATCAAAGGGAAGTAAGCGCCATAGGTCTAAATAAAGACATAATTAGAATTTTTGTAAAAGATGATATTTTTTAAAATTGTGTTTAATGAACATGCCGACAATTATTACTTTCAGTTTGAAAAATGAAAATTATTTCCCAACACTTTCAATGGTAATTTTTTAACTCATAAATTTAGACAAATGCGCACGGTAATATTCTAACACTTTAATCCATGGAAGTATGTCAACATATGTAATTTTACATACAGAACTGAGCTTTATATATATCTATATATATATATATCTATCTATATATATATATCTATATATATCTATATATATATATCTATATATATCTATCTATATATATCTATATATATATATCTATATATATATATATCTATCTATCTATATATATATCTATATATCTATATATATATATATGTATATATATATATATATATATATATGTATATATATATATATATATATATATATATATATATATATGTATGTATATATATATATATATATATATATATATATATATATATATATATATATATATATATATATATATATATATATATATATATATATAAGGAATATTTTAAAGGTTTAAAGACCTGCGCAATCAGAAACATTTGGAACCGCTATACTGGAACGTTGAAAGACAAGGGGGGTTACTGCACGCAAGAACAAAAATAACTAATTAGATTGATCCATTTGGCGCGTACACATTTAATTTTAATACCAGGTAAAAGGAGAGAGTCACTTCTAACTGGTCACGCATACCTCCATTGAAAGAAATACTAAAGTAAACGAAGGAAAGGTAAAAACACCCGTCTCTACCATCTTAATTATGTACCTGACATACACGGTGGAATGCGGAAGAAAATTGACGTACATAACAGCATGGCAGCTATACGTTCCAGGAATACTCTCTTGGATCTGTTTAAAAAGAAATTTCTTGTCTACGGCGTAGTTCAACTGTCCTTAATCAGTACCATCGTCATCAGCCGTGTTGAAACTGACTCTCAACTTTAAAAAGAGTATGTGGCGAAACCAAAAAGCCGAATATTGTAATTGTAATTGATCTATATACTAAACAACACCTACATCTGAACGCGACATGCTAAAACTTGTTATTGAATTATTAAACTGATGTTTTATCAGAACAACTTTCTGACCTGTAAAAATTATAGAGGTTAGGTACAAGATCGTATGTACTTCGGTAGAAATTACGCGAGTTTATATTTTAAAAGTGTGTTAATAGAAACTTCAATTATAATATATTGACTGTTAAGAAACTAATAGATTGAGATATTAAACAGCGCTTTAGTATCGTCGGAGCAAGAATTTCTAGTTTGATAAACTAAAAAATTATCTTGTCAGTGTAAAAATGAAATGTGCGTACAACGTAGCTTTGAACAACCAAGTACAAAAGCGACATAGCGTTTCAACTTCACATTTTAAGACCTTTAAACTCCAGCCATTAAGACAAATTGCGTGTTAACAAAAGCGGACTTTAAGAGTAGTTAGGTCGATGTCGTAACAATGGATTCAAAGCATTAATCAACGCATAAGTTCTTCCATTAGTCCACGTTAAAGCTCACTGTTTTATGGACAGGCTAACAAAAAAAAACCTGTGTTCTTCCATGTGTGATTCGCAGCATTCTCGGGTGGTCTGTATTGTAAACGTGGAGAGGTGGCACGGGTCAGGGTGAACTTACACTAATGGAGCCCACGGAAATAAATCTATATTTAGCTCTTCTTAATTCATCGTTTGTCTGAATAAGAGACCAGCACTTTCTGCACTAAATCGGAGGCTGTTCTGTCGACTGCTGATTTATTTAAACAAGCAGGTTACATTCAGAAACCGTACAAAATGTAAATGTTGATGGCATGGACGGAACTATAAGAATAAAATACATGATATTTCGAGTGGTCATTATTCTTGATCTCGCTGCAACTTCCGGGCTGCGTTAAGCCTAATCCCACCACTAAGCCTAATCCCAACACACCACTCGACCCCGCGAGGTCACGTGGTAATCTCTAGCTGGCAAAAGACGGGTTGCAGTGTAACAATAACACCGCTGAAATGCCTTGGCCAGACTTGTTGACGTGATTCATTACCTCCGCTGACGGCTCCATTGTGCCTATGTAACTAGATAATACAATGATAATACAATAGAATACAATCATTATGATCAGAACAAAGACAAAAGCAGTCGTCCATGACATAGCATTAGTGTTAAGTTTACAGGCAGGCAGAAAATAACATATGGTGAAATAGCAAACCACATTCCAAATCTTTTGATTAAATTTGTTTAAAAAAACGTATACATAAAACAGCGAATTGCGAGGTTTAAGTGAGGTAACAAGGTTGTAGCTATACATGTAAATAGCTATATGTAACACAGCTATACCAATACATGTAAAAAGATCTACTGATCTAGGTAAATTAAGATGTAAATAGATCTAAAGAGCTAGGTAAGGTAACACCGTTGTAGCAAATGTAAATAGATCTACAGATCTAGGTAAGGTAACACCGTTGTGGCTATACATTAAATTTAATACATGTAAATATATCAACAGATCCTATCGTTGCTTGTCCAGTATTCAGTTCATTCCTTCATGTCGAGTGTAGGACAAGCCAAGCGTAAAATATTGTGTTACAGACACTCGCGTTACACGAAAAGTGCATTCTAAAGACATGACATAAACCGTGTGTAAAAGAAACAAAGTTAATCGAAAAAAAGTTTATGTCTAATTTAACCACATTACACCGCAAGTGCATTAACTAAACCACAAAATTTGCCTTCTTAAAGATACATTAAGAACAATTCTAAATCATCATCGATCACCATTTTAAAACATCGAACTTTGTCGTTTAAACAATTTCTCCACCGTCTTCATTGTACAGACATCTTATAGCCGAGTCTAGCTAAACTATCGACAACTTTATCCCACAAAGGGAGTATCAATAGCCTAGTATCGATATCAAATAGAATGAGGATTGACTAAAAGTTGAGAGCCGATTCGTTGTGTTCCTACAATACAGCTCTGTCGGATGTCTAGCAAGAAGAATGGGCAAGAGGGTTATTAATAGCAGTCCTCATTCGTCACGACTTAAAACAGCCTAACGCAAGATTATGTGGGCTATGCATTATGTACCTCGGGAGGATTGTGATACATTCTTAGGTAGGTTTTTTTTTGTTTTTTTTTTTTAATTTAAATGTGTAAATTTCAATACGAATCAGCTGATGCAAATCGTTGTAGAATCTATTAACTTTAATATGTCACATTTATTTACCAGGTAAAGGAATGTCTTTAAAAAAAAAACGAGGTAGAACATTTTCAGTTTGGGGAATAAATAAAAAAGAGAAAGGGAACAGATGTGTGTATTTATATAACAGTTTTTGGGGTCAGTAATTCATTCTTGAGGTTTTATTTAGATGGCATTTAAAACAGCGGGACAAATATGAGTGTCTTTAAAATTTCTGACACGTACAGAGTATATCATAAAAATGCTGGAGTGATATATAATAATTGTGGCTGTCGTGGACATTATATATATATATATATATATATATATATATATATACATATACATATATATATATATATATATATATATATATATATATATATATATATATATATATATATATATATATATGAGAATGACATTATGCCCAGTGTAATGCTATTGCTTGCAACAAAGTGGCTTCGAGCTGGTTTTCAGGATTTATAATGAAAAATGTGAATCTATGAATTATTCAATTTGTTTCTTACTTAATCCACAACGACAGATGTTCCTTGCAGATTTCAAATTGAATTTACAACACATTGATTTCCTTGAAAATATTACATCTGCTATTTACTTTGATACGATTTGATATCACGATATATGCCACTACCACATGGGAATTTTTTCTGTAGAATTCCGGACTCCTATATATTTCTTGTTTCTATATTGCATGGGTTTCTCATCAGGCTTATAGACACGTGAAGTCTTAAATAGTATGAAGGTTAATCTTATCTACACCATTCAAGGTAATGTTAATTTACATTAGAATGCATACAACTCTATTTAAGATTATAAAATATCCAAACCAATTCAAGTAAATGTGGCGAGGCACCCAGAATGTAACCTTTGTTGGTAGAGGACAGTGAAGAAATGCCTAGCCTAGTTGAAGGGGGAATCTTGTACCCCGACAAGGGCATTAGCAGATTAGGTTCCAGCCTGAAGGTAGTGATTAAATGCCATACTTACAGTGGCGAAATATTAATTGCTTTAAATCATATTATGATTTCTTTTAACCCCGTGAAACTGATAGGGCTGGAAATGAAAAAAATGGGCACGGTTTTGTCGGTGAAGAAAACACTGAACTACAGGCACTATTAAAAATAAAGATACAGTCACAGGGAGTAGTGTTGGTCTCTAGACACCTAACTGTAAATGTGGTTTTTAATGTATGTGAAGTATAAGGAAGATTATTTAACAAGAATGTTTTAAACTAACGACTGATAAGCATTTACCCCTGCAGTTCTCGATAGTAAATAACAGTTATGTTAGTTTCAACCATCAACTTTGACTAAAATCTACTTTTTTTCAGCTTTTATCAAATGCTGTGGTACATTATTCCTTTAAACGATGTGGTTATATTCAGCCCTCATTGGGTCTCATTATCACCCCACTATCAAGAACTGGGACAAATTCCACAAACTGTCTTAGATCCCACAAACATGAACTGAAATAGACCCTACAAAAATGAACTGAAATAGACCCAACAAACATAAACAGGCATAGCCACCCCCCCCCCCCCCCACACACAAACATGAACTGACATCGAATCCACAACCGGGGTGGGGGTGGGGGGTGGAGGAGAGTGGGAGGGGTTGGGGTTGGGGTGTATACCTTACAACACTGATAAATACTAAACTTATCAACTATGATTCTGTACAATTTTTAAGCATCTACTTTTTAAAAAAAAAACAATACAAAAATTCGCCACTAGAAAATGTGAGCACGTCTTAAAACCATGTATCGACCGGAACAATCTTTAAGCCTATAGTGACAAGTGCTCTTATGTCTGTGTGGGCTGAAGCTACGTCTACAAAATGTTACTATTTATAGACTAGTTCCCTAGTTACGCAAAGCTGAACCAATTTAATTTTTTTGTCGCAATACTTGATTAGCAGCCATGACGGATCGACCGCGTCTAATTTTAGCACAACGTTTTTTTTTACCTAGCATTAAGTGCAAGAAGAGAAGTTTGAACTGAGGACAATCAATCAGTTGCCCAGATCGTGTGATTTCTGTCGTCATGTGATTTCTGTCGTCACGTGATTTCTGTCGTCACGTGATTTCTGTCGTCACGTGATTTCTGTCGTCACGTGATTTCTGTCGTCACGTGAGTTCTGTCGTCACGTGAGTTCTGTCGTCACGTGATTTCTGTCGTCACGTGATTTCTGTCGGCAAGTGATTTCTGTCGTCACGTGATTTCTGTCGTCACGTGATTTCTGTCGTCACGTGATTTTTGTCGTCACGTGATTTCTGTCGTCACGTGATTTCTGTCGTCACGTGACTTCTGTCGTCACGTGACTTATGTAATCACGGTGGCCGGAAAGAACCGCAACGGAAAAAAGCGCAACGGAAAAAAGCGCAAATCAAAAAGCGCAACGGAAATAAGCGCACACGGAAAAAAGCGCAAAGAGAAAAAAGCGCACACAGAAAAAAGCGCAAACAGAAAAAAGCGCAAACGGAAAAAAGCGCAAAGAGAAAAAAGCGCACACAGAAAAAAGCGCAAACAGAAAAAAGCGCAAACGGAAAAAAGAGCAAAGAGAAAAAAGCGCACACGGAAAAAAGCGTAAACAGAAAAAAGCGCAAACAGAAAAAAGCGCAAAGAGAAAAAAGCGCACACAGAAAAAAGCGCAAACAGAAAAAAGCGCAAACGGAAAAAAGCGCAAAGAGAAAAAAGCGCAAACGGAAAAAAGCGCACACAGAAAAAAGCGCACACGGAAAAAAGCGCAAACGGAAAAAAGCGCAAACGGAAAAAAGCGCAAACAGAAAAAAGCGCAAACGGAAAAAAGCGCAAACAGAAAAAAGCGCACACAGAAAAAAGCGCAAACGGAAAAAAGCGCAAACAGAAACAGAAAAATGCGCAACCAGAAAAAACACAACGAAAAATGTGCAAAAGAGAAATTTAGCACAAAGACCATATGGACTAGATGACACATTTATACATGACTGTTAGGGCTGCTGTGAGAGTGTCGTGTTTGATCACGTGATCTACTACCATTTAAAGCGTACCACTACCATCTGCATTCCCATCACCACGATACAGGCGATAATCACTTTACACAATTCCTATTATTTTCTTGGTCAATAATTATTCAACTACTATTCTCGTATAAACATAAAACTATCGACATTACACGAAGTATCTTTCACATTCTCCCTAGTCCGAACTACCTCGCTTGCATACTATAACAACCCGTTCCTATGGCAAAACTTCACTATCTTTCATCCGCGTCATCAAACATGCATTCGTCATATCTCTCGTAACAACATTCATTCGCACCAAAATAACAATTTTGTATTTAATATTTTTTCACATCATGACGCACCTACCTACCTACCTACTACCCACCTACCCACCTACCTACCTACCTACCTAACTACCCACCTACCCACTTACCCACTTACCCACCTACCCACCTACCCGCCAACATACTTACCAAACTACTCACCAAAAAAGTATCGGCGAAGTTCGTAAGTTTCGTAAACTGTACTAGACATCTTTTTTTAAATGAAAATTCATTGACATCATTGACATATGTTACATATGTTACATTTTGCGACAACCTTAATTAGTGCGTTGGGCTTGTATGAAAACTCACTTCGAACTAACTCAATTACATGCTATTTATTTTAAAATTACACGGAAAGCGTCACCCAACTGTTGTGATGTGAGGTGAGGACAGGTTCGACAATAAACCAACACGAAAGTACGAAAGAGACATAGATTGCCTATTAGAGAATGGACCCCTTAACTTTCCTAACCCCACCATTTATTATACCCTACCGAACCTCTAAATTTACTGCGCTAAATGTCACTTCCCTCCCAATCGTTCCTATTCTACAGAATTGTGTATACTATTTATTTACATTCTTTAATAATCTCAATAGAACTAAAATAGACTTTTGTTTGAAGGGTAATGAAAACATGTAAACAAAAGGGACGCAACTCTAAATCAATGCGAATTTTTATATGCAGTGGCGTAGGCAGGGGGGGGGGGGTTATGGGGGGTCATAACCGCCCCCCCCCCCCCCCCATAGACCCCTCGGTATATATATATATATATATAGGTGCGTCATGATGTGAAAAAATATTAAATACAAAATTGTTATTTTGGTGCGAATGAATGTTGTTACGAGAGATATGACGAATGCATGTTTGATGACGCGGATGAAAGAGAGTGAAGTTTTGCCATAGGAACGGGTTGTTATAGTATGCAAGCGAGGTAGTTCGGACTAGGGAGAATGTGAAAGATACTTCGTGTAATGTCGATAGTTTTATGTTTATACGAGAATAGTAGTTGAATAATTATTGACCAAGAAAATAATAGGAATTGTGTAAAGTGATTATCGCCTGTATCGTGGTGATGGGAATGCAGATGGTAGTGGTACGCTTTAAATGGTAGTAGATCACGTGATCAAACACGACACTCTCACAGCAGCCCTAACAGTCATGTATAAATGTGTCATCTAGTCCATATGGTCTTTGTGCTAAATTTCTCTTTTGCACATTTTTCGTTGTGTTTTTTCTGGTTGCGCATTTTTCTGTTTCTGTTTGCGCTTTTTTCCGTTTGCGCTTTTTTCTGTGTGCGCTTTTTTCTGTTTGCGCTTTTTTCCGTTTGCGCTTTTTTCTGTTTGCGCTTTTTTCTGTGTGCGCTTTTTTCTGTTTGCGCTTTTTTCCGTTTGCGCTTTTTTCTGTTTGCGCTTTTTTCCGTTTGCGCTTTTTTCCGTTTGCGCTTTTTTCCGTGTGCGCTTTTTTCTGTGTGCGCTTTTTTCCGTTTGCGCTTTTTTCTCTTTGCGCTTTTTTCCGTTTGCGCTTTTTTCTGTTTGCGCTTTTTTCTGTGTGCGCTTTTTTCTCTTTGCGCTTTTTTCTGTTTGCGCTTTTTTCTGTTTGCGC